GGTGTGGCTGTAAATGAAATTTTGGGTTTTGCCAATTATTTGTTCCTTTTAAAATTTAATATGTGATTTACAATTTTGGCTGTAAATGAGAATTTGGTAGATTATTGTGCAGTTGATTGAAGAAGTTAGAAAATTAAAGTTATGCACTTAACGAACTGCTCTATTTTTGCCTTTCAATAACTTGTTGCTCTAGGTATACATCGATTTGTCTTCCCTCTTTGTGCCAAAACATAGACAAACCAGCTTTCATTTTTATTTTTTGGTAATTAAATCAAGGATTTTGTTATCATGTTTATATGATGTGAGTGTGGTGATTTTTGGTGCGGTAAATTGCTACTCACTAGTGATTTTGAATTGTTGTTTCAATTTTTTCATTGTTACAAAGTTAGCTTCGTTGGTGCTCTCTGCTCTCTAACTATTCATGAACTTCACTGTTTAGTTTGGTCTCTACCCTGATTACATGTTAACAATTCCAGAAATTAATTATTCAAATTTTGTATTTCTTTTCCCACTGTGTTTCTGGGTTGTTATAATGCCTCTGGATCTGATTATATATAAATACCCATGAGGCCTCTGATTGTGTATGATTTTATCTGAAGCCTGTATTGCAAGCATTAGTGCCTGGTATGAAGCACTCGTTGATCGGTGCATAATTACATGTCATTTTGTATCCTTCTAACTTATGATTTGGTTATGTTTTTGAGTTAAATTTGTGCTTTTAATCTTTTTTTGTATTTATCTTTTAGTTCATTGAGCTTTAGGTAACAATGGTTCCTTTGGATAGGAAAAGATGCAATCCATGCATGTTAAGGGCTGATTGGGATAAGAGCAAGAGCTTAAAGACAAACCCAAATTTGGGCCACATTCCTTGTCAGTCCAGTTTCGTAAGTCACCTTGCAGGTCTCATTTCAGCAATCTGCACAACTCGGATGAGGAGACATTGTTCATATAAGTTGTTCCAATGGGTGTCTAGTATAACATATCCAAATTTTAGCCCAATTGAATATATCTAGAGTCCTCAGCCCGTCCAACACTGAACCCTGCTCAGGAGGATTCTTTTTTCCAGCAACACATGTGCAACAGCAAAAGAACTTTACTACCCAGCAACAAAGACTAGCAGCACATGGGTTGGCAGTAAATAAAGAGCCAAACCTCTATGCTAAAAGAAGAAACCAGCAAACCAATGTGAAGAAAGCTTGAGGTGCAACAAAAGAAGTATGAGATGGAATTGATTCCAACCACACTAAAATAGACAAGATAAAGTGTGAGTTATGGATTGTATTAAAAGAGGAATGGTGGTGTTGGAATTCATCATGATGTTCCTCCCTCTTAGCCCTATAAATAGAGAAGTCTTCAAGCTTCATAAATCACCCCAAGGGGGGAGCTCTCAAACACTTCTCTAGAGCTCCCCTCCATTCTCTCCCTCAAATTCTCTTAGTTTCTCTTTCTAGTTGTCAATTGTTGTAAAAAATGATTTTACTAAATTTTCCTTCAAGTTTTCAAGTTCTACTTTAATTTTATTTGTAATGTACATTCTTTCTTAAGTATTCAAGTTTAATTAGTTTCCAAGTTTCAATTATGGTTTTTGTTCTTATTCATTATGCTTATAAGTTAATATGCTAGTTTGAATGATTGATCACCATTTAGGCTTGCATGTTAAGAGTATACACCATGCTTTAATTCGAATTGAACTATGACTAGGAAGAGTATGTATGGACATTCGACAACAGGGATTAGATACATACTTGGTTGTTTAAAATGTTCTTCTATGCTTAATGGGTTCCTAATGCTTAATTTTAGGTTAGACAACAAATGATCAAATTAGGGAATTAGGAACACAAGGTTAGGACCAAACACCATGGTTTAATCATACTTTAGCTAGAATCAATCCGTTAATCTAATTGAACTTGGGAACTTATCTGCTTGAGTTATTTATTTCTTTCTTCCTTGTATTTATTTCCTTTCTTTTTCATTTCTGTTTTGGGTAGGGAAACTAAATTGGATCATTCAATCACCAATCCCTATGGAATCGACCTCGCACTTACATATGTTATACTACCGAACGGCTCGTGCACTTGCGAGTATCACAAGTTGAGGAT